CTGTACATTTCAACTAGCGCCAACGTAAGTAACGTTTAAATAAGTCTTTCAGTCAAAATGCAATGAATGAACTTATCGGAATGACGTTGGATAAGTGATCGCTGCTTTCGGACCACTAGCTTGAAGAATCGATATTTCATTCGTCGTTTAATTAAATAATGGATTAGATAGAGTTGTTTTCAAAAAATCGACGAACGTTATTTTAATTAGATAATTATCATCATTTCTTTATTAGCAAATGGCAAGAATTTCCCTGTTACAATGAAATATGTTGAATAGATTTACATTTCTGCTTTACAGTAAGTAGTATTTGGATCGTTACAAGTCATTTATTACTTTCTAATTTATAGATTCATTTCGCGGTAAACATTTATATTATAACTAGAGTTTCGTATAAATTTATTAAAATCGTTTTCTTTATTTTTATTCCGTTACAAGTTTAAAATGTTAATTTTAAACATATAGTTAAGTTATATATATATATATATATATAGTTAATATATTGTAAAACAAATATATTAACTATAGTTCACTTATCATTTAGGAAAAATTAATAATATATAATTATCAAACAGATAATAAATAATAAATAATTAAACTTACAATAATTTTTTAAAATTTAAAACTATATCAATCATTTAAAAACAGTTGTGTAACAAAATTATTCTGAATGCATACATACATATACACACAGAATAATTTTGTTACACACCTTTTATATATATATAATCAAAACATTTTTTACCATGTTTATATTTTAAAATTAGGTCCCAAATAGCTCTACGTGAATAGGGATCTACTCCAGCAGTCGGTTCATCTAATATTACTACTTGTGACCCACCAACAAATGCAATAGCCACAGAAAGTTTTCGCTTCATGCCTCCAGATAAATAATCAACTTTGCTTTTTCTTTTTAATGGCAGATTTAAATCTTCAATCATTCTTTAATTAAAAAAATAATTCATTTATTCTAATCATACATAAAAATATTATGTTATAAATTTTAAAATATTGTAATGCAGATTTAATTTTATAGTCAATACAATTCAGTTTTTAAAATAGCATAAATCATATTATCAACATACAAATCCGACTCATGTTTGCCGTATCCAAAGTAAAAAAATCTTTGATTTAATTTAATTCAGACTAATGGACCATTAATTCAAACTTATAATAATGTTATGGTGAAAAATGTATCCTACTCAATTCCTACCTATGCCTAGAACTATATCACATCAATGTCAAGTCAGAAATACAGAAAATTGCTGCTGTAATTTCATGCTGAGCTGTTTGCGTATATTTGTATTTAAGAATTTCTTAATTATATGACATCTGTTTAGTGTGGTTGCTTTCTGTAGTGTGGTAAGTGCTGTTGTTGAGTCCTACTAATGTTTCTACACTTTTATAGTGCATATGGTAGTGCAAGAAAAGTTTTTACAAAGTTTTTAAATTTTTTAAACAATAAAAATATCACAATATATTATTAAGGGCTGTCATTAATTATAAGTACAATTTTTGAGTTAGTTCTGACTCTCTTCCCTTTAATTACATGTATAATACTTCTTGGATCCCTGATATTGAAGAAATGACTTAAAATTCTTCAAATATTTTCTATGGTTTATTCACATGACTAGAAAATAGGCTAATAAGATCAAATTCTAATGGTATTAATACCACTGAAAGGTCCACACAGACAATGCTTTGATCCCTTCCCTATGCACTGTGTAGAATAATGTACTTTTTGCAATCCTCTTTCTCCTCTTAACTGTACACACAATTAATGGGCAGTCCCTTATTGTTATTATCAAAAATTTATAAAATAACTTTTAAAAGATGACATTACTATTTAAAGATAAATTTCTGCTTTATTGCATTAATTTTTATAAATTTTACTTAAAATATACCGAATTAGCGTAAAAATCTGTTTTATAAACAATTGTAATAATTATTTTCAGGTATATTAATATTGAATGATTTTAATCATTTTAAATTCTTTNTTAACAAAATCCATCATTTTGTCTATGTCATGCACACATGTCACTACGCTGTCTTTTGGTGCGTACTTTTCCAGAGTGACCAATTTTGACAGACAAGAACGCATAATTTTTGGACAGGTTTTGGCACAACTTGGCAAATTGGTCTTGAAAGTAACAATTTTTAGACAGAAGCTTAGTTAGTCCATGCAAATCAGAAGCATCCACTGTCTGTACATTCCATGTCATCAACACAAGGACACTGATTAATTTGAGACTCAGCATATTAGCAGTTCTATGGGGAAAAAGTTGCGGCGTTCTTAAAATCAACATTGTCTGACCGGTACTCTACTGGATCAAAGCTCCTTAATAATGGTACATACTTTTTTGTTTCTAAAATCAACATTTTGCTTATATCAAAGCTATCAAACAAACCAGTTTTTAGAGATGTTCTGTCCAATCCATGTAGCCTATGGCATCTCATTTGGGTCTCACTTCATAACATATAGCAATGGACATGATTTGGTACATATACAACTCTTAAAGACAATGTAATTTCTTGTACCAATTCAATATTTCCTTTTATAAGTATCATACTCATGGCATAGAAATTTATCAAAGCATTGTATTTAAGAACTCAGCAAGTTTTAATAACTTGTCGAGTTCTTAAATACAATGTTTTGATAAATTTTAAGGTATAAAGATCATTGCATAGTTTTTAGAGATTTATCTGCAAGTCTTTAATTTACACATAGTTTCCATAGAAAATACAAAGAAATCCATAGTAGTTGAAATCTCTAATAATAATTTTATTAATTTGAAAAAAAATTATGTATTTCACTTACCCATAAATCAGAAAGAGTGAAACAACAGCAGGAAAGTTTTTATGTGAAGTATATGCAGGAATGTCAAAAATTAATAAAATTAAAACACAACAAGTCGCAGGAACAACATAACTACACTGTAAAAAAAAAAAGATAAATATATAACTACATAATTTTATTAATGTATATTTATTACTTCAAATAATAAATCATTAATTTGATCCGTTTGGATCAAAATCACATTTATAATCAAGATTTCAATATCGTAACAGTTAACGAAAAAGTATACAAATCCGGCACTTATTAAATACATAATTTCATAACATTACAAAGTCAAAAACAATGTGAAAAATAATTAGAATAAAAATAGTCAAATATTGCTAAATAAAACAGTTTATTTACCATGTCCCAAAAGTAATTAGCAACCCAGTAAATGACAGCATTTACTCCGCTGACATATTGGAGATGTTTGGCTTTAATGTATCTTTCATAGACGAGAAATAGGACAAAACTGGCAGGAACAAATGACATGGCTACAATGATGAATATTGCAATCAAGACATCCGTTCCTTGCAGACTGTAAAAAATTATATAATTTTAAATTTATTCAATAATTAATATAAATAATAATAGCAACTTACATTTGATCTTTTGAGAGCATGTATGATGTATCCGTCATTGGATGATTAATTACTGTAATTCCTGCAATTTTTTAAAATTAAAAGATTTACTTTGTTGCTTCTATATTGTTATCTCTTAGATTTATTTATATATATATTCAATTATTTAATCTAACAATAAAATAGCTAGCATTTGATATTATTAATAAGTGTGTAAATCAATAGATCATCTCAATTTAAATCTCCACTATATCATCATCAAATTAAATCATTTAGAGCAGTCTTATAATTTCAGTATTATTAAATATTTGTTTTAAAAAAAAAAAAAAGCTTATAGAAAGCACAAAAACTGTTTGATATATTTTATAATTACTAAAATTGAATATAAATAAAAGAATAAAAAAATAGCATCATCATCATCATCATCAAATCATGCAATTTCAAACTCAAACTTGTATACAGATCTCCTTAATACATATAATTTCTTGTTTGAAATGCTTGTTTTCCATCATACTTAATTTACTGCTAATTCGGAAGCAAACAAATAAGTATAATATGAATATACTATACTATTTCCAGTAAATTTCAAATAATAAATGGTTATCTTAATTAATGTATTATATTGCTAATTCTCTCCATATCTCATAAAACAATACAGGTTAAGTGAAAAATCAAGATATGAAAAATAATTATTTACCATAAGCTGATGGATTTCCTTTAGATTTTGGAAGATTTGCTCTCAGTATAGCATTATTTAAACTATTTACATATGTTGGTACACTGTGATATCCTTTATTGTTGTACCATACCTAAAAAATATTATTATTACGTACAAAAAATTTTAATTTACTTGCATATGTATGTGTATATAAATTTACATTACCTTTGCAACATTTCTGACAGCAATTTTTCGAAACAGAGATGGCGCATCTTTGCCAAAATATGGCGGCACGTAATCTCTAACCCAACCAAATGAAAAAGCTCCATACCTATTAATAATACATTCAAAATGAGAAAACTTCGTAACTAAATTAAAAGAAAGAATGTTAAATTAATAGAAACCTTCTCAATCTGTACATATCTGTTGTATACAAATAATACTCGTGTTCATTTTGCTGATACTTATCAATTCCGTTATCGCTATTAATGTCTAGAAGGATATCTCCAGTGACAACTTTGTATGAATATGGATTAGAATAATCGTATGATGGACAGACATAACCAGTTTTATCTTCAGAACAGTGGCAATATGGATAAAATCTTTTTTTATTAGTAGATGGTGGTTCTACAAAACAATTTTTAATAAATTTGAGTTTTGTATAAGTTTATTTTAAAATTAGCAAAGCTGTTTATTAAAATTACCGGTCGTACGAAGCCAAGTATTATTGTTTAGATTGTCTTTACCATTATATATTGGTGAACTTGCCGTAGGGGGAGATGGAACAAAATTTTCTAAGGGTAAACCTGGTACAAACACACTTTCACAACTTGGTTCAAAATAATCAGATAGTAATTCAAAATTACGGACTGAAAAATTGAGTTTTTCCATTCGTTCGTCAAAACTGTTATTGAACGGATTCTTCAGCACACAAGTGGCACCGACACCAGACGGCATGTGTACTAGAGTGCGTACTAGCTTCGTAGAATCGGCATCAGTCGACCACCTAAGAGGAATAAAAAGTAAGAACAAAAAGAAAAAAATTAACTAACACATTCAAATTTAAATTTCAGTACCTTTGGTCGTCTTGTAAATTATTGGAGAAAGGTATAACATTTCCTTCGGGTTGCGTGTAATTGTAATATTGTGATGGACTTAGAATGAGAGGTGGGAGATCTTCTATCTTAGGAGCTGTTAAAGCAACAGACATGGCAATACTGACAAAGAATGCAGGTAATAATATTTGAGAAAATAACCCTTTCCAATTTCGTTTAGTACAGTAAAAACGCTTTAACAGTATTGCATTGAACTGCTGTAACAACAAAAATTTTCCTTCTATTTTATATGTTCCGGCACCTTCCCAATTTGGATTTCTTGGAGGAATGTCTAAAAATTTTTTAAAAAATCAGAAACAAAATTTAAAAATTTTCAAAAACAATCTAATTTAACACCGAACAAAATTTCAAAGAAGTTACGATGGAGACTTAATTTAAGGCAGTTTCACTTTCTAAGCAAAAAAAAATCTACAATAGAAATCTAAATTTATTATTAACTATATTGATATTATTATATATTTAATATTAACTATATTGATCTAAATATAAATAATTCCTCCTCAATTATTGCATTTGACACATTATAAACTCTAATTTTCCCTCAGAAATCATTTTTAAAACATTACTTTAACCAAGGCACTATGAAAATGCCATTATTATAGCTCTTATATACTATAAAATCTTGTTTTAGATGGATTGCTATAAGCAGATTCATGTTTTCATAAATGACAAATTATTAGATTAATCCTTGGATGCACAAGAGTAATGTAATTAGTGCACATGCTAATTATTTTTATTAAAAAATTTGTTATAGAGCAAAAGCAACGGTATAAAAATTGGAAACAATCTTCTACAGTCTATCTTTGGGAAAAAATAATCAAGATAAAATGAAAATAGAAGGTTCTAATGTGGACACAAAGAAATCAAAAAAGTTGTCTGTGTAGAGTATGCAGATTGTGTAAAAGAAAAACTAGAATTAAAACTACACAACAAAATTGAAACAGGAGAATGGGGCTGTCAAACACATTTTAACATTTCTCTGTTAATTGTAAAATGGTTATCTAAGCGTCTAGACAATCATCTGGAACTACTTGGGACAGAGCACAAATTTACATGGAATTTCATTTTACACATGGTATTTGCTGATATACAATCTCAAAAATAAAAAAATAAGACAATACTACATAATATTTTTATTTTGTGTCACAATCCACACACAAAAGTTATAAATATAAAAGTCTGTTTTTGCACAACAGCAACAGGTTTTGTATTTTGTAATTTGATTTTCTGGACTAAGTACAGAGATAGAAAATATTTCTTTGTTTTATTACTTTTTCACAGATGGAATGAGTGTTTTATAAATTATAAATATTGTATCATTATTTTGACACGTCAATTATTCCCAAGATTATCTAGCCAGTAAAATCACTCAGTTAGACCATCCATTCAAAAGGATCTAGAGAGAACAATGCTAATATATAGAAAATAAAAATAAGATTTTTTAAATGCATATCATAAATTTTTCCTAAAGTGATTCTTTTTTTCATAAGAATCACTTAAAAATAAGTGATTCTTATGAAAAAAAATCTCAATTATTTATAGGATTTTAAAAAACAATCCTGAAATTCCCCAAACATTTCAAACTATGATCAGAATATTTCAGAGAATAGAAACTAGAAATTATTAGCATCTTCATTAAAATACATCTAATTTCTGTTTATTATTGTTGTTATTTTAATTTTATGGAATTTTTCCTTTCAAGATTTGGATATTATTCATACATGTATGTTTTTATCTTTTAAAAATTAAAAACAGAATAACATTTTATTTAGTTACAGATTTTTTAAAAAATAAATATAGCCATTATTTTAAATGAATACAAACAGTATTTACACGATGTAAATAATACATTTTTATATATATTTTTGTATTTCAAACCTTTGTTCTTAATTTATTTTAAGTAGATAATTCAAAAAGTAATAATTTCATTATAAATTTTCTTAGTATTCATAAAAAAGCATGATACTTCTTAACAAGAAATTAACAATTTATGACTTTATTCATGCATAGTTGAATGGTGTAAAAATGTATTCCTTATTAGAAAGTCTCTATCGTTATTTCTTTTGATTATTAATTAAAATTTTACAACTTACTATTTTCTATTAATGGGCTATTTTTCAATTGTAAATAATCTGCTTTTCCATCACCTGCTTGCTTCTTCTTTACATTTTCTTCAAAGTTTAATGAAATTCCATTTGTTTGATTACAATTATCACCAACTTGCAGTAATGGAACAGAACCTTCGTCATCTCTTTCTAAAAACACATCTTTGTCATCTAAGTATATATCTGGTGAATAATAACCATTTGATACATTTTTTATGTTCTTTAATGGCCTTGATTTTGGAGAAGCTATTAAAAATATAATAATAATAATAATTATTATTTATATTGTCCATAACGTATCAGTTAATCTTATATAAAATATTCTTACATTCTATTTCCTTCTGACCATTTTCAGCAACTTGTAAAAATACTTCTTCCAATGTTGTTGTTTTAATGCCATAACTTGATATTCTTAATTGAGTTAAACTACTTTCTAATGCTGTAAACAATTTTTCAAAGCTTCCTTTTCTTAATTCACTCATAGGAAGCACATAATGAAGTTCATGTTTAGTTTCGGCTACTAGATAGGCACTTGTAACATGTTGAGTAATGAAATTTGTTACAGATTTTTCGTCACAAACTAAATGAAATATTTTATTTTATTTAATAATTAGTTATTTGATACAAAATATTAAAATAAAAACAAAATAATTTACCTTCTGTTTCAACAGGTGGTGAAGATAAAGGTTTTTTGACTATGTACAAATGATATCCTTCTCCAAGATTATTTTTTAGGAAGAGAGAAGTGCCACAACATTGTAACTGGCCATTTGATATGATAGCAATTCGATCTCCTAATATATCTGCCTCATCCATATGATGTGTTGATAAGAGTATAGTCCTTTCTAAAAAATAAATTTTTCTATTAAACTTATCAAAACAAACAAAACATTAAATAAATTTTTAAAAAATTATAATTTTGTAAAAAAAAAAAGTCAAATATTTTTAAAGTTTAGTGATATATTTTATCATTTGATTTTATCTTCAATACTAGATACAGGGTAATACAGTGGTGAATAAAACTGTACATGGTGATCAATTATTCAATTTACAGTTATTCAATCAATTATTCAAGTTACAGCTTTGAAATATACTCCTGTCCAAGTCTCAAAGATAACTGAGTTATAGAGAAAAATCTTTATTTCAAATCAGTTTATTTCAACATTAATTAGTAGAAACTACAACAGTTCATTATTAATTTAGAAGCAGGTTATGTTTTTTAACTATCACTTCAAACTCATCATTTTATTTCAAAATCATTTTTCAAACATAAGTGTTTTTGATTATTGTTTGAACAATACTAACATTTTTCCAAATAATGTGACAGCATCAATTTATTTGTTTTGTTCTTTTTCATTGCTAAGTAGAATTAAAACTATGAATGATTTGAAATAAAGAGTTTTCCCTGTAATTCTGTCATCAGATAAGAGTTTATTAACATTTTTTACTGTAAATTGAATAATTGATCATTCCTTAATGTTTTATCAACCACTTTTGAATCATTCTGTATAAAGATTTAGATAAATGATCTGAATAACCACACATACTGACAAATATAAACAAAAATATATAAACTACTACTAAATATATACTAAATACTAATTGTTAGTGTATATATATATATATATATATATATATATATATATAGTTAATATATTGTAAAACAAATATATTAACTATAGTTCACTTATCATTTAGGAAAAATTAATAATATATAATTATCAAACAGATAATAAATAATAAATAATTAAACTTACAATAATTTTTTAAAATTTAAAACTATATCAATCATTTAAAAACAGTTGTGTAACAAAATTATTCTGAATGCATACATACATATACACACAGAATAATTTTGTTACACACCTTTTATATATATATAATCAAAACATTTTTTACCATGTTTATATTTTAAAATTAGGTCCCAAATAGCTCTACGTGAATAGGGATCTACTCCAGCAGTCGGTTCATCTAATATTACTACTTGTGACCCACCAACAAATGCAATAGCCACAGAAAGTTTTCGCTTCATGCCTCCAGATAAATAATCAACTTTGCTTTTTCTTTTTAATGGCAGATTTAAATCTTCAATCATTCTTTAATTAAAAAAATAATTCATTTATTCTAATCATACATAAAAATATTATGTTATAAATTTTAAAATATTGTAATGCAGATTTAATTTTATAGTCAATACAATTCAGTTTTTAAAATAGCATAAATCATATTATCAACATACAAATCCGACTCATGTTTGCCGTATCCAAAGTAAAAAAATCTTTGATTTAATTTAATTCAGACTAATGGACCATTAATTCAAACTTATAATAATGTTATGGTGAAAAATGTATCCTACTCAATTCCTACCTATGCCTAGAACTATATCACATCAATGTCAAGTCAGAAATACAGAAAATTGCTGCTGTAATTTCATGCTGAGCTGTTTGCGTATATTTGTATTTAAGAATTTCTTAATTATATGACATCTGTTTAGTGTGGTTGCTTTCTGTAGTGTGGTAAGTGCTGTTGTTGAGTCCTACTAATGTTTCTACACTTTTATAGTGCATATGGTAGTGCAAGAAAAGTTTTTACAAAGTTTTTAAATTTTTTAAACAATAAAAATATCACAATATATTATTAAGGGCTGTCATTAATTATAAGTACAATTTTTGAGTTAGTTCTGACTCTCTTCCCTTTAATTACATGTATAATACTTCTTGGATCCCTGATATTGAAGAAATGACTTAAAATTCTTCAAATATTTTCTATGGTTTATTCACATGACTGGAAAATAGGCTAATAAGATCAAATTCTAATGGTATTAATACCACTGAAAGGTCCACACAGACAATGCTTTGATCCCTTCCCTATGCACTGTGTAGAATAATGTACTTTTTGCAATCCTCTTTCTCCTCTTAACTGTACACACAATTAATGGGCAGTCCCTTATTGTTATTATCAAAAATTTATAAAATAACTTTTAAAAGATGACATTACTATTTAAAGATAAATTTCTGCTTTATTGCATTAATTTTTATAAATTTTACTTAAAATATACTTACTTATCCATTTCGTCTTTTAAGAACTCATCAGGAGTGCCTTTAAGCTTTGAATAAAACCATAAATGTTCTTCTACAGTCAACCTGAAAATAATAATAATAATTCATAACAATTATAAAAATATCTTTTTATTTTAGTATATAGAATTTTAATTTAATAATTTTTATATGAAGTTACACTTTTCTTTCAGAAACTTAACATTACAAATTTTAAAATCTTTCTAAACAATTTTTGTTCTAAAATACTTTAAATGTTTAATTTCACTGTTTGTAAGATGATCAAACATTTATCAAATATTTTTTTAAAATAACATTACTCATGAAATAAAAACAATTAAAGTAATTTTTTTTAATTTGATTTTTTATATTGACAATACAAAATATAATGATAGCCACTTTGAAGTAAAACAAAACAATGCATTTTTATTAAAAACAAAAAGTATAAAATAACTGGTTATAAAATTAACTAAAAAGCAAACAAATTTCAAACTAAACAGAGTTATCAGTTATATAATAATCTCTTACAAATAGACAATACTTTTATTAAAAATAACTAAATATAATATGTTTCTGCTTACTTTGAAAGAGACAAATTACTTGGTTTATTAAGAATGTAAGGAAATTTGGATTCTTTTATTAGTAATCTGTTAATTTGTGTCTGACATTTCTTAACCTTTCAACAGTGGAATAGTCAGGTATAATGCCCTTAGTAGTGGAGAATAAACATGGAAATTTTTAGAGTATTTTTCCATGCATTTTTTCTCATTACTGTTTCGGAAAAAGATTTGTAAACAGTTATGTCTAGTAAAGAAAAGTCTTATTTTATTGTTACATAATTCATTTTTTATGTAATTTTTTTTTTGCGGTAGTTTTTGGCAATACCCCAAAAGAATTTGACATATATATACATCACTCACCACTGCTACACGATTGCCCTCGACGAACATATTCTTCACTCACTGCTGAGTGTGCTGAGCGGCTAATGATCAAATGATCATAAAGAAATGTAGTAATCTATTATAGATTGAACTAGTAAACTTCAAAAAGTGTGTAATTTGACTCAAGATAATATTAATATAACAGTATCTCTGTATTAATGCCTCTGTGTATTGATAAACTTTTTATTAATTAGTCTATATACAATTTAATGTTAATCTTTAATAATAATAAAAAAATACTTGTTGATCATTAATAGTGTCAGTATAGGAAGTTGGATGATTATAATGATAAGTGAAAAACTGATTCTGGATTGTAACAAGGAGTAGTAACACAACTGAAATTTTGGTAGCAATAATTTTAAGATTTAATTTTTTCAGTCTCTGTTAAAATGATTAAATCATTTTTTAGTGTATAAGATTATTATTAATAAGTTTGAAGTCTCAGTAGATGTTATAATTATTGAATTGAGTGGGTATAAAAAATTACATAGGCAAAACTTACTAATATTACTTAAATTACTGTTAAAATATTTTGATTTGTATTTCAAAGATTGCAGTTTTCATTACTTTTTAATAATAATTAATGAAAAAATTAAACTCACTCATCAAATAAAACATTATGTTGAGGGCACATTCCCATGCTTTGTCGAATAATTTCCATTTCAGTTCTTATGTCATGGCCATAAATAGTTGCATAACCAGATGTTGGAGGAAACAAGCCAGTAAGTATAGACCTAAAAAATTATTTATTAAATCATCCTCAAAATTAGTTAAAGATATTTGTAATTATTTTAAAACTTACATAGTAGTAGTTTTTCCAGCTCCATTATGACCAAGAAATGATGTTATTTGTCCTTCATAAAGATTTAAACTTAACTTATTAACTGCCAGTTTATTTCCAGTTTTATACACCTTCAAAAAAAACAAATGTTTATTTGTTTTATAATTTATAAACTCAACATATTTATTAATAATTACAAAAAGAACTTCTATAATATACCAATCATAAATATTCAAAGTTACAAAATTGATCACTTGATTGTGTGTATGTACATGTACATGGAGCATATTAATTTATCTAATTAAATATATAATTTGCATAGTTCTATTTATCAAATAAAAATAAATTCAACCTTAAAAACTGCAATTTCTATAACTATCTAATATCTGTTAAAAGGAAATTTAATTTGTTTCAATATACTAAAGTTTTAGCACAAAAAATGTAATTTATTTTTGGAAAATTTATTTTACAATGATCTACAAACTAACATCTTTAATAAATAATAAAATGCTTTCCAGAGAAATGTATTATTAAAAATATTAATGTCTTCAAGAACTTTCTATCACACTATACACTGCCTTAAATAATGTGGAAATTGTTGCTATATTACTATTAGATCATCCGAATTTTGAAAATTAGATATCAATATGTATGAATATGACATATGCTTACTTTCACCAAATTGTCAATACAAACACCAAGAGGTAAATGCTCTGGATCAGGTTCAAAAAAGCGACTGTCATCTGAAAATAACAAGATATTGTTCATACCTGAAGTTGTAAAATAATTTTATTTCCATTTATGTTTCGGCAAAATATATAAAAAATCAAAATTAAAAATCTAACTTTTGCTTTTTACTTATATCAATCTTAATTTTTGTAAAATTTATGATTCTGATACTTAATCTCTCAAAAACAAAATTTTATTATTTAGATTAGTACTGAGAATAACAATATATTAATATTTACGTGTCCTATTTGCCATTGCGCAAGCTTGATCCTCTTCTGTTACTGAAAGACCCCAATGACTTTTTTTGATTAATTTATGCCAACAATCATTGATGCAACCACATTCGGCATCAGTTTTTGGTGCGCCAATCCAGTAACTTTTAGTAAATGGGAAATACCATGGTTTAGGTAGACCATATGAACCTTAGAATGAAGAAAGGGAAAAGAAATAAGATTTAGAAGCATGAAATAAATTTAATCTCATATTTATTGATTGTGAAAATAAACATTAAAAAAATAGCAAATTAAGATTATCTTTTAATTTAAATGTATTTTATTCAGGAAAATTTATATAAGATAAAATATAATGTCTAATGTTAACTTACTGATATTAATATTGTATCCATCTTAGCATTACTTGCCATTGTAAATATTTACTTTATATTCTCTATTAGCACTGTCAACTTAAATTATTTTGTCTTTTCACAATAATATATTCTTTAAAAGGTTTACAATTTACTTTTAATGCCGGTATAAATGCTGTTTTTAATTCATAACCATAACAAAAAATTTAACATGTTAAAGTTAAATGAAGTTAAATGTAAAAAAAATTCATAGATTTTTCCGAAATGATTTCAGAGTGCTGTCACTTTCTGATTATAATGATCCATTTTGAAAGCAATGTAAAATCACTCACTTTACAACAACAATGCTTGGAGAGTAATCGTTAATTACTAATGCTGAATGAAAAACTAGAAGTGGATAAAACCACAGTAGTAGTTAGTCATGGGCTTGTGCCTGATCAATGGTCTGGCCATGTGGAATTTACCATGTTTTCTTCATGTGTCTAACATCTAAATAAGAACCAGTTTCCTATAGAAAGCCCTTGTGAAAGTCACCCTCTTGACAGACCATCCATGTGTTGCATTGCTTTATTCCATCATCCAATCATAAACACAAATGAATATGAATAGAAACCATAAAAACAATTTATATTCATAACTAACTCAATTGTGAAGTTTTGTTCTCAAGTTCCATCCTATGTCCACTTGCAATAATTTCCCAAACAACTTATTTTTTGCATTCAATTTTTTATTTTATATACACGTGAACTATTTGCACAGGCATAAGTGGTCGGTCATACATAATTCAAAATGTTTCGAAATGAATAAATTATATATTAAAAATTAAATAATATAAAAAATAAAGAAAAATATATTACCAGGATGGACATTTTCTATATACCATACAAGCAGAGAATAAAGGAAAGTATCCATCAGCATCATAATAGCTACATTCCATAAACTAAATTCATCATCTTCTACTGGAGATATGTCAATGTTAGACCACTGTACTCCAACACCAACTTCTTCATAAAATGCAAAATATTTAGCACCTAATCCAAATGCAGTTGTTGATAACAGAGACTATAAGATAATAATGTGCATATAAATAAATCCAGTTTTTTCTCTAATTTTTTTATATATTCTTTAAAAAACTACATATTTTAAAGTATAATTTTAGTAAAATGTCTTACTGCTAAACTCTTTAGCCATGCTGGTATACGATCATGTGCAGCTTCTTCTCTCACAGCAATATACATATAAGGAACGTAAGTAAGAAAATAAATAATTCCAGCACACGCCGCTGCTAACTTAGCTTTTGAATAAACCACACTCACAAGAAACCTATAATGTTTTAAAAATATTATAAATTTTCATATAACCTTAACAAACAACAAGTGATATACTTACGAAAAACTGATATTTGCTATGACAAAAATTTCCAGCATGAGAAATATCAATAGAGGATTGCTATAAGTGAGAACTAAACCATATTTTAAAATTATGGTAAGAATAGCAGCAGTGATAGTCATTTGAACAAAGCTTGTTATAAACCAGGCAAGCCAATGTACAGCACTGTTCAGTCCCATTGTTTTCATTACCTAAAATTGAATTTCTTTTTAAGCAATTAAAACTTCGAATGTATTAATTAAACTGAAAATACATACTTCTTTCAATCTCTGTTCCTTTTCATAAACAATATTTTGAACAAGCATTGCTACAGAATAAACCCAAGAAATAGCTAGACATAATGGCATGACATGTTCAATCATAAACAAGAACCTAAAAAGCAATAATATACTCTGTTCTATTAAATATTTTCTTATAAAAACATTTTAATTCTAAATTTTATTGTGATATATATATAAGAGTTAACTCACTCATCCTGAATATAACATGGATATGGAAACTGATGAACATAACCTCCAGGTTCTATAACATCTTTCTCTGTGTACAGATTTATCATTGCACGCTCAAGGACATCCTGAAATAATTGCGTTTAAAAAATACATAAATAAAATCTTTTGCTATGTAAAAAGAATACAATTGATTTCAACTGCATTTATTTTCTTTGCTTACCTGAATCCATAAAAATCCAAACTGATAATAATTATAACCCCAATTTCTTGGTCCTGGAAACCAAAACCTATTTCTAACTAAATTAGTTGTACTCGTAAATGATGCATTCTGTCGAATTTTATATATCATATGATTTGGAAGAGATCCATCGTCTTTCATACTAAAAATAACACCTGTAAATATAAAAATTTTTTTATTTTAAATAACATAGAATATATATATATAATGTAAACAAAACAGTCAGTTAAAACATGTATGAATAAAATCTTGAAACATGAAAATAAAAAATATTCTGGTAAATTTTCTTGCTAAATATAAGCTTAGAAAACATTTAATCATTTTTTTAATGGCAAAATCAATCATACTTTTCCCATTAAATTCACTCAAAAAACTGAAATAAAAAAATTTTAATTTCAAATATAATTTTTAAAATTGAATAGTTTCAAACTCAATTAGAAACTTATAAAATAATTCTTATAAGTGATAATATTTAAGCTATTGTTATTACTAACATTTAAAATATTTTAAAAAATAAATTATACAAGATGAAACTGAAAAATTTTGAATTGCTTCAACCATTTCCAATGTTGTCTGGTGAAATGCAGTGGAAATACGGACATTTGAAGATGGAAGATGTTCTGTCAATTTCCATGATGAAGGAACAGAACTGTTATAATATTTGTAAGGAACCAAGTCCGAGCTTTTTATTCTATTTTTGTTTGGGGCTTATGCTTTGTTAGGATGAAGGTTTCCTCACCACTCATCTTAGAAACTTAAAAATAGAAGAAAGAGAACCAACTCACCGACGAAAAAAAAAACACCATAGAAAAACTCATGCACACCTGCACTCCCGAACGGAAAAAAGTAAGTCCGCACCGAGAAAGAGGGGGGAGACCCCACGAGCACAACTAAGAAACTTGCTAAACCTTAAAGAATAAAACATCCTGAAAAATTGTCAAAAAGAATAATGTAAAAGGTTAGCGAGTATTGCCGGGAAATAGGCTGCCAGGCAGAAAGGAAAAGTTTACTGTTAGCAATAAGTATGTAAATGAGAGGAGTGATCACAATCAGAATTGTGATGTCACCTCATAGTATAAAGTCTGAACCTCAAGTGAAGATGACCAAGGTGAGCTTCATAGCAGCAAACGACAAGAGGGGTCCAATAGCGATAAAGTGGTTCCAAGGCGATTCGAAGTTATTTGATTTGTGGATCAAAGATTAGAAAAAGTCTTGAGTGTTGAGGAAAAAGGTTCCTAGTATATTGAGGCGACAATTAGGACCTTAGTTCATAAGAATTGTTGTACATAAGTTAAGTCTTTGAATTTTTTTGTTGAATTCCAAAGGGGAAAAGATTTAAGTTAGCAAATAGATTGATTTGGGTTTTGTTGGATTGATTCTTATTGATTTTCTTTGAATAAAATTTGTTGTTTCATTGTTACTAATTTTTGTACATAGTCATTATTAGAATTATTAAATATTGGATTGGTTTTGACTAACTTTGTCATTATTTCTTTCGTTGCACGCTTAAAGTCCAGACCTGGCACATTAACATGAATCCGTGTAAAGTACCCGTTAAATAACGGCTATTTCCAGTACACAGTCGTGTCAATAATCGTTGTAAAAGGTGTAAAAAAAAAAAAATAATAATAATAATAATAATAACTTAGTACTTTACATATTTTTGCGAGCATCAAGCAAGAATGCAAGCAAAATTTATTAAGAAATGAGATTTTGTATATGGAGACAGTTGTTCATCATGCCAAAGTAGTGCACAAAAATCAGAAATGAAACAATAAACATTCAAAATGTCCCATCAGGCTGTTCATAATCATCCACCTTACAGTTCAGATTTGTAATCATTACCTTTCTGGTCTCCTCAAGAAGGAATCAGCAAGTCACCATTTTGAAAGTGACAATGATTTGAATAAACCAGTTCAACTGTAAGCAACTGGATGCATTCTATGAGAGTGGAATCCAAAAATTTGTGCCACAATCAAAGAAATGTTTAGCCATCTTGAAAATTACATGGAAGAATAGGGTAAGAACTTGGCTTTCAAATGTATATTTTAAAATTCTGAAATAACAATCAAACTTGAAGAAGAACACAGTTGGCAAAGACTTTGATTCCTCCTCATAAAATTAATCCTTTAATTTACTTAAAGTATATTAATATTTAAAAATCATATTTTGATATCAGAAATTTACAGTAATATTTCAT